AACGCAGAGCCTCCTTGCCACCCTCGGATGCGTTACCACCCGTCACCCCGATGGAAGTTAAAGACTTGATCAAAGACCTACGTCCTCGCAAGGCTCCCGGTTCCGACGGTATATCCAACCGCGTTATTAAACTTCTACCCGTCCAACTCATCGTGATGTTGGCATCTATTTTCAATGCCGCTATGGCGAACTGTATCTTTCCCGCGGTGTGGAAAGAAGCGGACGTTATCGGCATACATAAACCCGGTAAACCAAAAAATCATCCGACGAGCTACCGCCCGATTAGCCTCCTCATGTCTCTAGGCAAACTGTATGAGCGTCTGCTCTACAAACGCCTCAGAGACTTCGTCTCATCCAAGGGCATTCTCATCGATGAACAATTCGGATTCCGTACAAATCACTCATGCGTTCAACAGGTGCACCGCCTCACGGAGCACATTCTTGTGGGGCTTAATCGACCAAAACCGTTATACACGGGAGCTCTCTTCTTCGACGTCGCAAAAGCGTTCGACAAAGTCTGGCACAATGGTTTGATTTTCAAACTATTCAACATGGGCGTGCCGGATAGTCTCGTGCTCATCATACGGGACTTCTTGTCGAACCGCTCTTTTCGATATCGAGTCGAGGGAACCCGCTCCTCCCCACGACCTCTCACAGCTGGAGTCCCGCAAGGCTCTGTCCTCTCACCCCTCCTATTTAGCTTATTCGTCAACGATATTCCCCGGTCGCCGCCGACCCATTTAGCTTTATTCGCCGACGACACGACTGTTTACTATTCTAGTAGAAATAAGTCCCTAATCGCGAAGAAGCTTCAGAGCGCAGCCCTAGCCCTAGGACAGTGGTTCCGAAAATGGCGCATAGACATCAACCCAGCGAAAAGTACTGCGGTGCTATTTCAGAGGGGAAGCTCCACACGGATTTCCTCCCGGATTAGGAGGAGGAATCTCACACCCCCGATTACTCTCTTTAGACAACCCATACCCTGGGCCAGGAAGGTCAAGTACCTGGGCGTTACCCTGGATGCATCGATGACATTCCGCCCGCATATAAAATCAGTCCGTGACCGTGCCGCGTTTATTCTCGGTAGACTCTACCCCATGATCTGTAAGCGGAGTAAAATGTCCCTTCGGAACAAGGTGACACTTTACAAAACTTGCATAAGGCCCGTCATGACTTACGCGAGTGTGGTGTTCGCTCACGCGGCCCGCACACACATAGACACCCTCCAATCCCTACAATCCCGCTTTTGCAGGTTAGCTGTCGGGGCTCCGTGGTTCGTGAGGAACGTTGACCTACACGACGACCTGGGCCTCGAATCAATTCGGAAATACATGAAGTCAGCGTCGGAACGATACTTCGATAAGGCTATGCGTCATGATAATCGCCTTATCGTTGCCGCCGCTGACTACTCCCCGAATCCTGATCATGCAGGAGCCAGTCACCGTCGACGCCCTAGACACGTCCTTACGGATCCATCAGATCCAATAACCTTTGCATTAGATGCCTTCAGCTCTAATACTAGGGGCAGGCTTAGGGACCCCGGTAACCGTACTCGTCGAACTCGACAAAGAGGTCGACGTGCAACCTAACCCATGCATCAGCCCGCTGAGTTTCTCGCCGGATCTTCTCAGCGGGTCGCGATTCCGATCCGGTAGTAGATTCATTCGCGAAACAATTGCTCTTGAGTTGTTAGGTCTCCTTCGGAGGCGCTCGGGCAGTTGTTAGCAAATCCCACCCCTCTTGGCTGAGCCTTTGCTCGCCCACCTGTCCTGGTGAAACTGGAAAGGCCTTCGGGCCACCAGTAAACTTTCAATCATAAAAAAAAAAAAAAAAAAAAAAGGTGAAACGCTATTTGGTTTAAGTAACTTTAGAGGAGAGCTATTAAAGTTTAAAATTTCGAAAAAATATCATAACATAAAAACTTCTTCAGCTATTTCAATGGTATAAACTTAGTTGAAGTTCAATTAAAAACATCGAACTGTAAATGTTAATATCAAATAAAACGCACCTTTAATCTATATATGTATATAATATAAAAATGAATAGCTGTTCGTTAGTCTCGCTAAAACTCGAGAACGGCTGGACCGATTTGACTAATTTTGGTCTTGAATTATTTGTGGAAGTCCAGAGAAGGTTTAAAAGGTAGATACATATGAAAATGCTCAGAATTAAATAAAAATAACAATTTTGTTTTTCCTTTAATGTGTCCCCCGGCGGACGGATTTTATTTATCGATTGAGGCACTACGATGTCTGCCGATTCAGCTAGTTACAAATATGAATATCACGTATTGGTATCGAAACGTTGCTTAAACCCAAACGAACTTTCACTCCTTGATATATCGTATATTCATATATATTATATACAAAGATATCTTGTAAATGTCGGCGAGATACAGGCTTTTATTAAATTCTTTTTGTTCTGTGATAGTCACCACATTTTTTATCACTAAAGAAAAAAAATCAAATTACAGTATTGATTTAACATAAAAAGCCCAAATGTATTCGTATGTGTGTCACTGTGTCAATCCCATCAAATTGTATTCCAATATAAATTCTCTTTTTACACTTTGTCGGTGTTTTTTATTGATGTATCTTAGTCATGACATTTGAGTGATGCGATTTTAGATCAAAATTATCAACTGTTTGCTACTTTTTATAATATTTGTTAACTCTCGGCTCTCCTACCCTTTCCAGAAGAATGCATAACCACACCTGAAATGCTGATTGTGATAGCACTCTGATGTATAAAGCGATCTCAAGATCTTTTCCTATTTAATTCATATCTTTATCACGTCATAAATATACTTAACACGTGATGTTACCGCAATTCGGCTACAGACGGCAATAAGAAATAATTAACACCGGCAGAATTTACTTCAGCGTCAGTTAAAATAACAATGATAAATAGGATTACGAACTTACACGCTAAACTAAAACTAAACACGCAAGAATTCACATAGCTTCAATCCGTAGAATCTTTGAAAAAAAAGAACAATCCAGTCCAAATTAGTAAAAAAACTATCATCTATACTAATATTATAAAGAGGAAAGATTTGTTTGTTTGTTTGTATTGAATAGGCTCCGAAACTACTGAACCGATTTGAAAAATTCTTTCACTGTTTGGAAGCTACTCTATTCCCGAGTGGCATAGGCTATAATCTTTTTTGAAAAATATTTGGGTTCCGCACTAAAATCCCAATAATGTTACCCAAGGTGTAAAAAAATACCTAAAATATTATTTACATCGCGTGCCCTGCGAAATCAAATCAAATCAAATCAAAATTATTTTTTTATTCAACATAAATGAAAGTACATACTTGTTTAAAATAAAAAAGGTCACCACACCACATTCAATATCATCTTACAAATTTTATTGAAATTTTACATTGAAATCTTAACTTCAAAATATTTGGAATTTAAATAAACTTGCTCAATATTGAATCTGGCCGCATACTTCGATGAAACTTACGTGATATGAATAAAATATGCGCCTAAAGAAATAGCCGGGACATACCACAATAAGTTGTAATATAACTAACTCAATGTAAATCTGCTGCGAAAATTTTATTCTAAAAAGACAAAGTTAAATTGAAGTATATCTAAATTTTACATTTTAACATAGACTGAAATACTAATGAACCAGTTTCGAAAAGCGGTAAAACATTTTAAATTCTTAGAACGTTTTCAAAAACAAAACTATTTAAAATAAATATAAAAGTATCTTAAGTCATTAGACCACAGAAAAAAATCTAAAATATTTCTACTAATATTTAGATATACGCCGAAATCTTAACTTTTTTTTTTCATTGCTTAGATGGGTGGACGAGCTCACAGCCCACCTGGTGTTAAGTGGTTACTGGAGCCCATAGACATCCACAACGTAAATGCGCCACCCACCTTGAGATATAAGTTCTAAAGTCTCAAGTATAGTTACAACGGCTGCCCCACCCTTCAAACCGAAACGCATTACTGCTTCACGGCAGAAATAGGCGGGGTGGTGGTACCCACCCGCGCGGACTCACAAGAGGTCCTACCTCCAGTAAAAACTGAACAAAACCCTACAAAATTATCGATTCTTCAGAATACAATATTATTTTATTTCGTCCACATTTAGCTTCTAAGCGTAATGTTGCAATACGACCTATTCGTCTATTCTTCGAATTCTTAAAGTCAACCAATAAGTTAATAAATGTGTCTCTCAATGGTATAATATTAACTTCTGTATTTGAAAAATTTCATCAAAAGTTTAAATCATTGACAATAAGTTGGTAATAATACAATTTTTTTTTCTAATATATTGGATTGAATGGAATTGGTAGTATATTGGATTTACTTTGTGTTGTAGTTTCATCACAAAGTTATTGCGATTAAGAATTGATTGGAAACGTGGAAGCTTGGTGAAAGGTTTTCTTTGTTACTGGACACAATAACTTTAAAGACGTTAACGTCTTAGTGTCGTATATGCCTTTAAACTATTACTCTTATTGAAAATATCATTGTATAGACAGAGAAGTGTATTAAAACTATTGTTGGAAACATAAATGTTATGTTATGAAATCTTTCAGCGTAACAATCGCCAATTTAATTTTAAGTCGATTAACTTTATCAGCAAGGACTAATAATTATGCAATAATTTTGATACTTTGTTTCTGATCAGAATCACATCATGGTGGTGGCTTTTACTGGTGGTAGGACCACTTGTGAGTCCGCACGGGTAGGTACCACTACCCCGCCTATTTCTGTCGTGAAGCAGTAATGCGTTTCGGTTTGAAAGGCGGGGCAGCCGTTGTAACAATACTAAGAACTTAGAACTTATATCTCAAGGTGGGCGACGCATGTACGTTGTAGATGTCTATGGGCTCCAGTAACCACTTAACATCAGGTGGGCTGTGAGCTCGTCCACCCATCTAAGCAATAAAAAAAAATTATAAAAGAATATATTTCGACTTGCAATACAAGCGTGATTTTTTTAAATAACTATATTTACTTATTACACAGGTGTTCAGCGGCGCCGCTACTTGCTTCTACGCTTTCATCGGGTTCGATATCATTGCTACCACCGGAGAAGAGGCCAACAACCCTAAGCGTTCCATCCCTCTGGCTATAGTGCTGAGTCTGGGCATCATCCTACTGGCTTATGTTAGCACTTCCATGATGCTGACTCTGATAGGTACGTATTGCAATAATTAAAAAAATATTAATAATAATAAACAGCAACTCAAATGTAACTACGACTAACCCTATATTTTTTAAGATCATTTTTTGTCGAACACAACTCTAAACTAAATAGTCTGGTGACATTAATTTTATTTTAGGTAAGAGCCACCATGACTGACTTTTGTCGAATACTCTAAACTAAATAGTCTGGTGACATTAATTTTATTTTAGGTAAGAGCCACCATGATTGACTTTTGTCGAATATTCTAAACTAAATAGTCTGGTGACATTAATTTTATTTTAAGTAAGAGCCACCATGACTGACTTTTGTCGAATACAACTCTAAATTAAATAGTCTGGTGACATTAATTTTATTTTAGGTAAGAGTCACCATGACTTTTTTTTCCAGAAGAAGATATTACTATTCATATCCTATCGGACCCTCCCGATCCACTCTCGGTGCTTTTAGGGTCTCCAAGCACTAGTTACTCCAAGAGTTCGACCGATCCTATTGATACTACCCACTCAGTTTCTCGCTGGATCTCGATCCGGTGGTGAATTCTTGCCAGAGTGTTAACTTATCTCAGTTTGAGCCCCGCGAGCTCACATACTCGTCCGCGCGTAGTAGGAGGATCCCCTAAAGCTACCGACGATTAGGTAGAGAACAAAAGGTTACGGTCTACATACAGTCTTTTAACAATGGGTTTGCATTATTAATAGTTGTAGTATGTTAGTTGCGTATAGTATGAGCGATGGCTAGGACAACTGCTCGATCATTGTCAGAATAATTTAAAATAAATTAATACTTCAATTATCTAACTACCCACGTATGTACCTAGAATATATAATCTCATAAACAAAACATATTTCAAGATTCACGGTTTTATTTGAGAGACTTATTATATTTCTGTCAACGAAAGAAAACAATAGATCGTAAATTCTGTTTAAATTTTGAATGGCAGACAGATATTCAGACAAACCAATATTTTGCTGACCGCAGACTATTGATTCGGTTAGGTGTGTTCGAACTCCTGCCGTCGACGGTCACCCACCGTGTTTGTATTTCAGCAGAAATTTGTGCAAACCGTAAACTCAGACTGAATAACAGATAAATATTGAAACGCCATTTATTCTACTACACTTTATCCTACCAACACTAATAAAAAGCAACAAAATTTAATCACCATTGCAAACCCACTCAGCACCTATAAATTTAAGTAATCTATAATTTGCTCTCAGCTTCAGTTATAAGCCGATGCAGGTCGAGGTCGGTCGAAAACCAATTCAGGTTCATCATGCAGTATACTCCGGTGGAAGCTAGAGCCTTTATTGCATGGGAATTAACCCGATAAACTCATATCTAAAGCCGCATAGATGCGCATTGTTCAGCTTCAATATTAACTTGAATCGCTAGCTAAATTTATTAGTAGTAATATTGAGACATAAAATGATATTAATTTATTATTATTACTAGCTGACCCGGTAGACTTCGTAGTGCCTCAATCGATAAATAAAAGACCTAAACTTTTGTATAAAATAAACTTAAAACAAACAAAAGGAATCCGTCCGACGGGGGACACATCAAAGGAAAAACAAAATTGTTATTTTTATTTAATTCCAAGCATTTTCATATTTATCTACCTTTTAAACCTTCTCTGGACTTTCACAAATAATTCGAGACCAAAATTAGCCAAATCGGTCAAGCCGTTCCCGAGTTTTAGCGAGACTAACGAACAGCAATTCATTTATATATATNTATATATATATATAAGTATAGATTACCTATAAAATATATTCAGCCACCATTTTAATATATTTTATGTTGTACAATTTTAACCCATCAAATATTTTGTACATACATCCCATTTTTCTCTACCTGTGCTTTGAGAAAAGAATACTTATTGACAGGTTACTCTCGTATTGGTAAATGTTACTTAGATGTTCTTTTTAATCTGTTTTCTTTTTGAGTACAGTAAAACCCAGTATGTTCGGAGTCTTGTATTGTATTTTAATTATCGGCAATGACACTGCCCAGCACTTTTTGTATGTTGATCTCAATGAGCACTTTTAGGTTCTTAGCCTAATCATGTTTTTTTTCAGAAATGAATATCCTAACCATACAATACAAAACCAGACTTATTTTTAGGATGACTATTTAATAATCGTAGATTTGATAATAATTTCATTAAGATCATGAAATTATCACGAATTAAACTAAAAATAATCATTAGAATAAAATCCCACTTAAAGTTTCCTGCTTAATTAATTATTTCTCCGTTCTCAAACAAAATAATGAAGGTTACTAAAACAATAAAACTCCACAAGAATAATAAAGCATGTGGAATGTTCTATAAAATAATATTGCTATATACGAGAACCCTGTTCGGCTGAGAATTCTAATGATCCTCGCAGATGCCGTTACGAAAGTGAAACGATATATTCGTAAAGAATAACCCAACGTCGATTCGTCTAAAATTCTGACGTTGCGTCTTTAGTGAGGGCTCGTTCACTTTATTTCTAATGAATCCAAACTTTTTGTACCAGAGGCCCATGAAGGGCTGGCTGGCTGATTGATGTTTGTAATTTATTTAAAATCCCATTCTAAATTTTATCGTCATATTGAAAAATAATAAGTTATTTAAATTAAATCATTGAAATGTCAATATTTAATTAAATTGTAACATTTATGCATTGTACACTTTCGTGAAAAAAGATTACTAAGGGAAAATATATTATACTTTTTTTTTTTGTTTCGTAATATTTTTTGCATATGGGTAGGTATCTATGTTTCCGAATAAATAATTTGGTAAAAATAACCTGACTCTACAATTAAACACCGATCTGTTAATTCGAAAATATCATATAACGCCGTTAAGGATAGAAATTATATCTACTTCCTTAATCATGTTTTTCTTTACCTATGTTATTTCATTTTCATTTGTTTATGGAATTTGGTCCCGAAGATATCTAAGAGACCTAGTTTTATTTTTCGTATGCACAATATATGATATGGGGTCTGTGTGAGTGTGAACTCAGTATACTCAAATACGTATAGGGTTGTTTATGTGCCAAATTAAGTGTAATATATGGAACAATGAGTGAATAACACTATGCTCGATATACAAAAGGGGAGATATGCTAATCAAAGGGCCATGCCACGGGCCAATATCCATCGTTTGATTTGAGTCAAAGGATTGCCTTCTTGAGCAACCCAATCTTCTTTTTTTTAAACCCACCATGAAATGAAATAGGGTATATCTGAAGGATTCACTTCTTGTGTTTTTACCACAATTCTGCTTATTTTTGGATGCGTCAATTGTTATATAATCATTTAGAATACAGCCTCGTGTCTCGAGGCGACATTCAAATTGTCAAATATATCAGCTCTGAAGACCATTTAAACATCTACTGACTTAAAACAAACGTGGTAACCTTTGTCGGCATGAACGTAGTCGATTACAATCAAAATCTCTTTACCGTCTAACTTGAACGCTTATAAATCAACAACAAAACGTACTGAATAGACACAGCGAATTCAAAATGAACCCGCTTCGTACATACGTAACGAACGGCAGTCGGAAATTATATTTGCATATAAACCCATCCTAATTGACAGAATGATGTTTTAGGATGTCACACGAATTAACGTATGCATATTGTATTAAGTTTTGCACAGACTTTGACGTTATTAAATCGATCGAATTGCATACATTTATACTTTTGTAGGCATTATAGAGTAATATTGCAGTAGAGTTACTGGTGTTATGATCTCTTGTGAGTTCACACGGGAAGGTACTACAACCCTGCCTATTTCTGCCGTGAATCAGCAATGCGTTTCGGTTTGAAGGGTGGAGCAGTCGTTGTAACTATACTGGAGACGTTAGAACTTATATCTCAAGGTGGGTGGCGTATTTACGTTGTTGATGTCTATGGGCTCCAGTAACCACTTAACATCAGGTGGGCTGTGAGCTCGTCCTTCCATCTAAGCAATAAAAAATAAAATAAAGAATAGACTACCACAAAATTAACTTCAACGTAACATAAAATGTCATATTAAAAATACTAAAATACGTACAAATTAATAATATAATGCTGATATATCTTAAGAATAGGTCGTATGCTAATTATGTCATTTCTTGTGAATCGTCATCTTGCTCGATAAGAATTGTACTACACATACTGCAAGGTCTAGAAATGGAAAAAGAACTAAGCAAACTGATCATTTAAATGTGCATTTGATTGAAATATACAAAAGGTATATTTACGACAATTTTCAAAATTTTCAGTAATTAATTTGAAAGTCTCAGTCAAAAGTTCCCCCGCGGGACACACAAATGTTATTATTATGTAAAAGTTAGCACGAAACTTCAATGCGACGTAGCAAGATTAGCGACAGAGCATCCATTATCGTCATCGATTATTTTAAAATGGATATAATATCGATTTTTGTGTGTTTGAGCCATCGCTAAAGTATTGATGATGATAACGCTTCACTTTGGACGTTGGTTGTTGAGCGACAGGAGGTTTTAGTCATGTGACATGCTCCGCCCTCTATCCCCAGTGGAGGGCGGAAGTCCGGTTATTTCTTCCTGAACAAATAAAAAAAAAGCCACAGAACACATAAAATATAGATAGAGCCGTATGTATATAAATAAATAAATAAATATAATTATTTACTAACAATCACGCCACGTTAACTGGTCCCATTATAAGTTCGTAAAGAACTTGTGTTACAGGTACCAGATAACGGAAATAAATGTAAGATTTTTATTATACACATACTTATATTTAATATACATCCATAACTCTGGAAAGATATTTTTTATATTTATCATACAAATATCTTCCCTTGCCGGGATTCGAACCCGCGACCCCCTTGTGTAGTGACCATGTCACTTACCACTACACCAGACGGCCGTTAATAATCAGTTTGATTGTTCTAGTAACTGTTTTAATGACTCAGTTCTAGCTTCAAACGTATTATATAAATACATACAAATAAATATATATTTA